GGCAGCCGGCCACGCGGAGCCGCGTCTCGACTCCGACGCTGTCCCCGGGCAGAGCCGCCACGGAGGGTCAATTATTCATGGGGCGCCCGGGCGTGCTCCCAAGACCTGCTCTGCCCTCAGCTTCTCGGGCGGAGTGGGCAGAGGACGGGGGAAAAGTTCCCAGAGTAAAAGTTGGCCGCATTTCTCCTTTCCCCCAAGTAAGTATTGAGCACCTGCTGGATGCCTGGGACTTGGACCGGGGCCGCTGCCAGGGGCTGCGGGGAAACGGGAGGTCTCCGCGGGCCCCCGAGTTTCCGCAGGAAACAATGCCTGAGGAGGCTGGCGCTCCAGACCAGGTCAGGGAAGGGAAGGAAAGCCTTCGCCTCCCGCCTCTCTTCCTTCCTCCCGGCTGCATCTCCTTGGCTCCACCCCTTCTCATCAATTCCTCCCACACTTCCCTGCTTTCCCCGGCTTTTCAGTGGAGGGTCCCTTCTCCCAGCGAGGAGCAGATGTTGAGCCCCATTGTCTCTCCCCCCGCAGTGACTGCAGCCTCCCCGGACCGACCTGCTCCTCGGCACCCCTCCCCCCCGCAGCCAGGAGGCCTGGGCCTTCAGAGACTGGAGCCCCAAGGCCACTGCCCCTCACCCCACCCTGAACCAGCTCCTGGTGATGTGAGCAATGACTGCAGTCACTCAGAACATGATTTGTTTCTGACTGGGAGTGAGAAAACAGTAGCCTGAGACTCGGCTTGGGCAAGGAGGACACCATCGTCTTAATATCAGCACACGGAGCCCCCCAAGACCTCAGAGCCTTCGACCACTACGCCCCCTTAATAGGGTGACACATTTCTGTCATTTTCTTTCCTCCAGATTCGTGCACCTAAGTGGTATCCTTCAAACAAAGCAAAGCACAGCTCCGATGGTCAAGCGTTCATTTAACAAACGCTTACTGAGTACCTGCTGGGTGCCTGCTCTTGAGCTGGGTGCAAAGGTCCTCAGTTAGGCCTTGCAGACCCGCAGGGAAATAAGAAGACAGCAGCAACCACAGTGCCAGGTGATGCATGCAAAGATGAACCGAGGAAGCACCTGAGAGAGGACTCCCAACGAGGGTGGTCAGGGAGGGCTTCCCGGAAGAGGCTACATCTCGATGCGTGGGCCTGTGCCAGGCAAATGCATGGGAAGGCACAGCCTGTCCAAAGCCCCCAGGGCAAGAGAGCACATTCTTACAGATTCTTGGAACTGCCACAAGTATGTGCCACCCGGTGGAGTGCACGCGGGGGAGTGGGGAATGAGTGCAGTGTCCGGGGACACGTGGGGGAGGGGCGAGCACGGAGTGTGACAGGGCGCAGGGGAGGAGGGCGGCGGGTATCCGGGAGATTGTCAGATTTTAGCCTCTCCCACTTGCTAACTCCATGAACTTGGGTGCATAACAGCTGCGGGAAAGAACTTAGACTGTTTCCCCCACTTATAAATTGGGGGTCAGGAGATCTGGGGTCTGCAGAGATAGCATCTTACGTTTAAGGGCCCAGGCGTACTTGCTGCAAATCTCTGGGCAAGTTGGCTTCTCTGTCTTCCCATCTGTAAAATGGGGGTGGAAACACCCGTCTCACAGGGTTAAAGTGAGGCCTAAATGAGCCCATGCATCGCGTGGTACATGGTGGCTTTTATTCATTAGCGTGTTTTTTCGGGTTTTGTTTCTTTGCTTGTTTGTTTTTGTTAATCCTCACCCGAGGATATTTTTCCATCGATTTTTAGGGAGGGTGGAAGAGAAAGAGAGAAACACATCGATTGCTTGCCTCCTGCACAGGCCCCGACTAGGGCCCGGGCCAGGGAGGAACCTACAACTGAGGTCCAAGCCCTTGACAAGAATCGAACTCAGGACCCTTAGGGTCCCCCAGGCCGACACTCTATCCACTGAGCCAAACCGGCTCGGGCTATTCATTAGTTTTACAAATCAGGGAGGTGCCTTAACCACCTACAAATGAGATTCTGTTCCGAGTGACTCACCGTGCCAGGAAAGCTGTGGAGAAACATTCATTGAAAGATGCCCTGTGTCCCAACAGGTGGCCTGGATTGGGGACACCTCCGTCTCATCAAGGTGGCCCAGGCGTCATCTCAGGAGCATGACTGGAATGTGGAGACAGGCTACGAAGGCCAGGCCTCAGCAGGGGAGGGTAGCCGGCCTGAAGGACGCATAGGAATCGGAAGAGAGTGGCCCCTGGGAGCAGGTACGGGGCTGCGTTTGCTCAGTGGAGAGAGAAACGGACACGGACATTCACACTGTGGAGGGAGGGAGAGGCAGGAGGGAGTATAGACTCCTTTGCAGCCTGATTTCAATCTTAGTTCTTTGCTTGGGTTCCTCATTCTCTAAGCAACATGCAGATGAACTTGGCACCAGCAAAGTGCCCCCTGGACCCAGGCGCACCAGTGTTCCAGTTTCTGCATTGTACACATTTTACGCTTCTGTTATTTCTCTAGGACACAAGTTCGTTGTGAAATAGTTTGAAAATCAGCTAAGCAAAACTGAAAAGGACACCCCCGTGGAGCCATTATAGTTTGGTACACATCCTTGGGCGTTTTCTATCCACGTATTTACGTGGAAATGCACATAATAATAAAACTATACAAAGTAAATATTGTTGCCCGGCCGACGTGGCTCAGGGGTGGAGCGTCGACCCATGACCCAGGAGGTCACGGTTCGATTCCCAGTCGGGGCACATGCCCGGGTTTCGGGCTCGATCCCCCACTGTGGGGCGTGCAGGAGGCAGCCGATCCATGATTCTCTCTCAGCATTGATGTTTCTACCTCTCTCTCCCTCTCCCTTCCTGTCTGAAATCAATAAAATAGATATTAGAAAAAATTTAAATTGTTAAACAAATGATAGACTATACATGTAAATGTTATTTTTACAAAAATGACATAACCCTATACCTACTGAATTGCAACCACTTTCGCCCAGTGATATGTCACAGGTATCTTTCCCTCTCTGTAAACATCCACATTATCATTCTTTTTAAAAATATATATCTATTATTGATTTTTTTTATAGAGAGGAAAGGAAAGGGATAGAGAGTTAGAAACATCGATGAGAGAGAAACATCGATCAGCTGCCTCCTG